ATATCTGATTTATACACACGACTTGCCAACGAGTGCAACAACGTTCACAGCAACTTTTGCTGATGATACTGCAGTCCTTGCAGTTGGAGAAAGCGCAGTAATAGCAGCTAATAATTTGCAAAATAGTATGGACAGTATAATTGCTTGGACAAAAAAATGGAAAATTAATCTGAATAAAGAAAAATCAGTGCATGTAAATTTCACAAATCGAAGCATCAGTCATATACCTGTCTACATCGATGAAGCACAAATCCCTCACGCGAATACTGCGAAATACTTGGGTATGACTTTGGACGCTAAACTAAGATGGAGCGAGCACATAAAAAAGAAAAGAAGTGAATTAGATCTTAAATTCAAATCGTTGAAATGGTTAATCGGCAAAAAATCAAAACTATCGCTTTTCAATAAACTTGTACATATTATACAAACAAATGCTCCAGCCAATCTGGACATATGGAATACAGCTATGGGGTTGCGCAAGCAGAACACAAATTTCCATCATCCAAAGATTCCAAAATTTCATGCTACGGAGTGTAACAAACGCGCCATGGTACGTGAGAAATTCTGACTTACATCGTGACCTTGGAGTGACAACAGTACAGGAAGAAATTCATACCAAAGCCAAATCACACCAAGATAGACTTAGTTGTCACATAAATGCTGAGGCGCATTTACTAGCGACAACTTTGGGCTTAAATCATTGAAATATAGTACAATTAATTTATTATTGCGTGGAATCGCCTAATTTATTTAAATTTAAATTGCTTGTTAGTTATCTAATAACTAGTTGCTTTATGTCTTGTTTTGTTTTATTTATTGTTCTTTAAAATCATATATAATAATAAAACAATTTATAAAAAAAAAAAAAAAAAAAAAAAATTTACAAAATGGTTTAAGCATTCACCACACGTAATCCAATTGCTTGTCTCGACCATTATAACATAAGATCAACACTAAGGAATGACATCATCATGTGGTACGCAAATCATGATCGTGTGGTAGGCAAATCTTTATACTGTGTGATATTTAACGGTGCACAGCGTAGAACAGAACCCTGCATTAGTAGTGCACATAACACTGTTGCACCCACAGCGTAAGGCCTAATGGTCTGTATCATTTTACAATGGAATAGTCATAATTATGACCATAGTTTCAGTATAAATTTTTTTAGATCCCCCACAAGAAATTCCCTTTACCCTTAATTTCGACATTGTCAACAGATTCATTATTAGAAAAGGGTTTATCAATACGCAGTGACGGCTTAAATAAGGGTTACAGAGCATATGGCAGAGACTAGTTTAGAGTTCTCGAGTTCACTCCAATTTATATTTAGGGCGGTTTTTGACGTCATTGATTCATGTATCACGTATTTGTTTACATAATTTTTTCTTATATTTATATTATTACTATTACCAATGTTGCTTATAAATATTAACTTCGAATATTTTATTCAGCAACATTGTATTAAATTCAGCTAAAAATATTTACATCACCATAAAATGGAAAAAATAAATAAAAGTATATAATTCCGCAACAAATCCCAAAGTTTTGTTTGTGTCAGTAATTAATTGAGAGTGTCGAGTATGCCTAAAATTGCCAAAAACTTGTTGATGTTGAGTCAAAGTGTGCGCTGAGACGAACTCCTGTCTTGAGCTTGATTTGCGATGATATCTAAAAGTGTATTTGATTTTCGGAGGTACTGATCAAGAACAGCCTTGTAAACGCGATCCCTTTTGAATATTTTGGTGTATATTTAGTGCTAAATTGTCTTCTCTTCTGATTAAGCATTTAGGGCGGGACAATGATCTTAAATGTCTGTGATCTCTGCAGTATCGTCTATTTCTTCAAGCTGCAATTTGTATATGAAATAAGATGATCTAAGCAGCTGGTGCAAACAGAAGCTAACTAATCGGAGATCGCACCGAAATTTGTCTCTGACTACATGACTGGTAGGTATATCAGAGTTTACATAGCTCCACTAGAGTATTATTATCATTTGCAATGCATTTCCTGTTTTTATGTAAATAAGTTTTGCTCAGATAGTTAAGAAATATTTTGAACTCTTACAAAGTGTTTGGTTTTCAAGAAAAGGAATTTTTTTCAGTTGGTAACGTATCGTCTATAAACTTATCAATATTGTATTTTAGAACTTGTAAAATAATGTTTTGAACAAGTAGTTAAAAAACTAATACGACCACAAATTTGAGAGTTTACCTTAGTATTGTGCTTTTTGCAGATCGAATTATATTAATTTTTTCTAAATATTTCTATTTTACAATATGAATCGTTTAACAAGCGCTGACCCTGTTAAAATTGTAAAAACTTTCGAAATAAAGAGGATTTTTTCCTTTTTTTTTCAATGATGAGATAAATTATTTACAAAAAGCCACTGTACTGTGTGGTTTATTGGTGTGATTGCATTTGCTTTTGGAAAATTATGTAGGTGTGATACAAATCGTTAATTTTGATCACTACAACCACATGATTACTAATTTTATTTAACGGGATATTGTAGATATTAATGTGGAAGATAATTGGTTTCAATAAAAGGTGTCAGAAGCCATAAGCAAAGTTTTTGGAGATATAATGTCACGTTTCAGTGATGAGAGTAGGCTATCATAGTCACGCGATTCCTTATTAATTTGAAAACAAATATTTGTCAAGTTTAAACGAACTCTTTGGATGACCTAAAAAGTCATCGAAAAGTATTTCAAATAGATCCAGTATTGTTAAGTCTTATAATGCATCTCACATCTAATGACAGGATCCAAACAATAAATTTAAATACAAATTTGATCGAAAACTCAATGATAAATGCAAACTAAAAATGTTTGACACAAACTTATTACTATAAAAAAAAAAAACGTCAAGAACTAAATCTTAAGTTCAACTCAATTAAGTGACTACTTGGACGACATTCTGTTAAGTCAATCGAAAATAAACTAATGGTATACTAGCAGGTATTACATCCACTTTGGGCCTACGGAACTTAAATCTGGGATTGCACGTCTAAGTCAAATAGGCAGATAATTCAACGATATTGAAATAACTTCCTAAGAGCAAATACCAATGATCCATGGTGTGACCGTAACAGCGACGTTCATCGTGACTTGGATGTTCCGATAGTTGTGCTTCAGGCTGAAGCACATAAAAAAGACTTGAAGTTAAGTGCAACGCAGAAGTGTCATGATTCCTTCGAACAGAAGACCTTGTAGGACGGATTAAGAGAACCAAACCATCTCATTTAACTGATTAATCATTATACTATAATATTACAGATAAGGATTAAATAATGACTATTTTAAGTCCACAATGTTTATTGATAGTTAGCGTCGCCCACTATTATACTAGGTGCAATTAAATATTTTATGACTATTTAAATAAAAATGTGTATGAGAACTTGGCACAGTTTTCTAATAAAATAAATCAGTTCTTTTGAGCTACAAATGTGTATCTTTGTAGAAATATTGTTACAGCCAATTAATAACGTAAAATTTAAAAATGATGTGATACCACAAGTGGCAAAGTATCTCAAACACTAATACGTTAATAACAACTACACAATCAGAATATTGTTTTACCTCGTATTAATACTTGTAAGCTAAGTGTATTTGCTTTCTATTTAATCAGTGCTTGAACAATTCGAATTTAGAAAATTTCCGCTCAGGCTGAATTACATGAAATTTTTACCCATGTTACGTATTGTTAAGTGCGTAAAGTATTAGCAGTTGACAACCACAACGAACAAATTATTTGTATTTTAAAATATTCACATTTCCATCGCACGATGAAGAACATCGTAACTGTTGCTTTAATAATTTAGGGTTGATTTCACATGTACGGATATATTTTTCAGCTGTAGCTAATTCATGAGATACTTAACACTTGTTTCCTTCAGTCGGAGCACAATAAATTCCAAAATATAATAAAACTAATTTATGAAATCTAATCCAACTTTTGAATTGTTGTGTGAAAAACCCACATCGTTTATTAATATAAATATTGCATTTAATATAAAATATGTATGTAAATATGTATGGTATGTCATATATATTAGTGAGGATTTTGCATTATTGGGAGATGACATTTTAGTTACGTTTTCGCATATAATAAAATCTATATGATGGAAGTCTAATTAGAAGCTTCACACTTTGAAATAGCTTGGATTTTTCTTATATAAAACCCATTATTTAAAAATAATTGTTTTAAACTAACTACAAATACACACTTCTGTATTGTTTGCAAACAATTTAATAGTAGCTCATTGAAATCTCTTTTTGGGTCTCAAATAAAACGATCCCTAAGGCATTCGCACAGGCTTCAATACTCGTACCGTAACCCCTTAGAATGTTGAGTCTTGATACACATTGTTAATAAGATAACATGTTTAGATACTACAAATAAAATAAAAATAATGAAACCAAATTGCAATGACTTTTGTCTTTTGTTTGAATTCATATAGCCGAACATAATTTGTAAATTCAGGAAATAACCGTGGCGGAAAGCGATGCTTGACATTATGACCAATTTTTCGATGTCGCATGCATTTGTGGCTATTTATTAACATCCCTAAGGTGCTCTGTTAAAACAAAATAGTGTTCTTTGTAAGAGTCAACAATTTAACTAACAAAGACTCATGTCATTAAATAATTTTATCCGATAATTTTTATTAAAAGATGTTATTTAAAAAGAAATTGTAGAAGTTGCATATGGATTTGAGATATGTGTAATGTGTAGTGTTAGCAAAATTCAATTCTTGATCATAACTATATTACCACAACTTGTTTACTTGTTTATATTTTCATTGAGATCTATAATTTATGTATTTATATTTTAAAAATTGAATATACATATTTCGATATGTTTTGTGCTTCTAAGCATAAAACACGTCTATGTCTTTTTGACTTGCAAATACAAACGAATATAGAAATTATTAAAACATCAAATGATATGAATTATTACTACAACTGACTCTTTTATATTTCAGTAAACTCGTCATTAAAAGGCTATCAACAAACATACTACAACAAAAACAGAAGGTGATCAAAAAACAACTCTGTCAAACTCTGTTATCAGTTCTATCTGATATGCTGTCACATTCTTTTTTCATCACATTGGTTTAACAAGTCGCGTCTTAAGAGAAAAAGGATCGAGAAGATATTAATGTAAGCGTAAATAAATGGACTTTAAGGCGCCACTGTCACAAACAAAATCACTTGTTACCTTGATATTTTTCTTTATGTAGATTTAATATTTTTTTACCTTTTTATAGATACTTCAGCAACACTTTCAGTTTTAAATTTGTAAATTTGAAAACTTGCTGGTATTTAAATTCAATCGAGCATTCATTCCTGATCGGCAGTTTGATCGATTACATTTTTAATGCACACTTTTAATATAGAAGACAGGTACAACGTGTAGCATGCATGATCCTTAAATTGTGAAAAAAAATTTCAAACTGATTGGATCAACAAGTTTGCAACACCCGTTAACACGGGATGGTATTGATAGCTTTTGGAAAATGCCGTACGCAGGTAAGGAAGTCCATAATATTTGTTTATTTTCAGTTATTATGTTTACAATAAAAACATGTACTCATATTGCAGCAGTCTATGCCTGCGACATATACCATACGTATTATAATTGTTGCTTATCTAGGAACCTGTCAAAATATCTGAAAGGATGTGACAAGTCAAGTGTGACATCTAAATATTTTCAATATACAATGAAAGTTTTTATTATAAAATCAATTTGTATATTAAAAAAATTTTTATTGTGCTGAGTATTTGATTTTCCAAAATTAGTTTTAAAAAACAGTCCCGGTCTTAGGAAAAAGTATTAAATATAAATTTTTGCAAAATTTGTACGTCTTATTTCGAAGCAATTACAATGTTTTCTAAACGCAAGTCTTTAGCTATAGCTTATACTTACGTTTTAATTTGTAAAAGTGTTTAAATTAAGTCCTAGCAAATCGACTAAGGGGCACAATAGATCTTTCACGTCGCAGTGCACTATCCCTGTTCTCAATAATAAAGTCCTAGCGAATAAAAAAATAAAAATGAATATACTGGAACTCTTATGATCGAAGTGAGCAAAAACTCAAAATTGTATGTACATATATTTCGTGCCGATTCCAATTTTATGGATATCAGAAACTAGCTTATATCAAATTTAGATACGAGTAAGAGTTTGTAGTTGTCTATAAGTTCGCAAATACCTGATTTAATAAGTCTACCTATGTAAACCTCATCCGTTGCTCAACAGAAATCCAGAGATTTATATAGACCAAACGGATCATTTATAAGTAAAACACTTACAGCTAAGTGACAAACATAGATTTTACATACTTATATATTTTACATAGATTTTAGATATTTAATCATATTAAATAATACATAGTAGCTGATAGCTGATAACTGATAACTTATAGCGTATGTAGATTCAATAAACACGAATAATTGTTCCTTTAATGAAGAGATTTATGAAGGATTTAATTTATAAAAATTCAGTTTAATTTTTATTCAATATAAATAAATTTAAGTACATGAAAGGACTGATCATTTTTATTTTAGCGATATGATGGGAAATGTATACTATACTATATTTGTTTTAGTATCTCTTAAGAAACTCCGTTCAAACAAATGATTATAATCATAAGTGTCATATTTTAAATAAACACTTAAATACATATTTCAATAATTAATGAAAATATTGTTGAGTATTATTACTTTCAATGGCATTTTCAAATTACTTGTCTTAAATTCGATACAACCTGTTTTTCGTAAAGCAACTTAAAGATAAATGTATGTAAAGACGCGATCCTAAATTATAAATATTATATGTATAATATATGTATCCATGCACACACCATATCTGCGGACAGAATTATATCTGTTATACGGTAAAACTAATTATAATTTAAATTAGAAGTAGAAGCAAAAATACGATTCGTGTTTAATTTTTATACTGCTGTCATATGTGATTTTCTCGGCGGGGTGCACATCAAAGTTAGCCACTTAATTAAACCACTCATACGAGGTCATGCGGCGCTGAGATTGTATTGCGAGCTGCATTGTGAAAAATGAGAAAAAGTATTCGGCATATAGGCTGTTAGATAGTAAATGAATCTCGGCAATTCTGACCGTACAATTCTCAATCAAAAGCAACTGACAATTTCATTTGCAGCTTTAAGTAACTAATTGAAACCAAAACTTATTATTCCATACATGCAAATAATTAAAGTCTAAACATTTTTTAATTAAGTTAATTCTCAGATGTATTCATTGCTGCTGATATCAGCAAACCTGAGTAATGGTCGTTTCTTCATTAAATTCAAATTAATTTCATAATGTTCATTAATGTTTATGCTCTTTTATAACAAAACACATATTACATTTCATGTCTATTCATCAAATTGAGGTTCTTTTTTAAGGACCATTTGCCGTTTATGTTATTTCTATAGTGGATATTCATTAAGTTCCTCTCGGACGTAACGAATTTATTATGTGCTCCTCGCGTTTCAATGAAACAAATTTTGTAGTTGGATCTTTGAAGATGAAACAGTAATTTTCAGAACATTATGCAAGATATAAATCTACACTCCGTACAGAGAAATTATAGCACGTACAGAATCGGTGTAAAGTGATGACCAAATTCTAAACCATATCTCGAAGACGGTAATAATAGAATAACAATAATAATAATAATAATGTTATTATATCTGCTCATATGATTTGATCGGATAACTGGAGTTTTGTAACATATTTCCAATGAACATTCACAATAGATCGATTTTTGAATTTGGAAACACTGCAACTAAACATGCAAAATTTTTTAAGAGTAAAACCTAACTCTGAAGGGTTTAAGAGCATTGTTGTTGCTTCATATGTTGCCTTTGGTAAGTTGCGAGTATGTTTTTGCTACTCTGAAAGAAACAATTACGGCTATTCTAGGTACTATATTTGAAATTTTATAATAAATCCTAATTTTTGGTTCGGTTATTTTTGCTTTAACCATGGTAGTTATTCGAAAAATAATGTTGCCGATCTTTCGGTTGATCGTCAACTAGCACTAAGTTGCTGTATATCTCTTTTATAGCTGGTTATGAATAAACAATTATTTAATGAAAAATAACACCATCATGCTACACTGAATCAAATGTCTGAAATGAATTTGTAAAGATACCGGAATAATGTAAGGATTTATGAATTGCTTTTGAAAAAAAAAATACTTTCCCTCAAGTAGGCAATTCAACAGTAAGTAAAGGATAAAAATTAAAAATAAAATAAAAAAATAATATAAAAAAATAAAATTAAGACCAACTAAAAAACAGTTGATTTAGGAAAATTGTTTGCTAAAATTTAGATATGACATGATTCTGCCTATAAGTTTTAGGGTATGCCCTCACCTGCAATGTCTTACTATAATTAACATCAGGATTATTAATAATACTTAATTTTGACTAAAATAAATAATAATATGGACGTAGGTTCATGACTACGGTAGCAAGATTAGCTAAAAATAATTCAGTTCTTGTTATTTAGAAGGTTTTAGTAGTTCCCTTTTGAAGAATTAAATATAGATTTAATACCATATATTTACATTAAATTGTATGCGAAATTAATACAATGGCAATATACTTGATCTCAATCACGGATGGACTTGCAGTCTCAACTTACTAGGCTCAGTTCCTTTTTCTATAAAGTTCAAAATCATTAATAAAACTGCAAAACAACCGTAAGCTGACTTTGTACATATAATAAGAGTATGTATGATATATCGACGTACTGAATAAAATTTTTCGATGAGTTCTATTTATGAGTTCTTTATAGAACTTCTTTTGAGTTCTATAAATTGTATCACAATATTTGATTGTGTGAGCTGTGTGGTACCATGTGGTTTCGGTTTAAGTTATCGATCATTAATTGTATAAAATTATGATAATTTGATAAAAACATAGCATGCTTGCGGTCACAAACGGGCCGAATGTTATCACAAGTGATTAATGACAATAATCCCCTTAGTTGATTCCTATTTGGTAGTTGGACTAGATCTCGCACAACCGCATGGATTTTGAACTTTAGTGTGTTTCGAATCAATCAATATAAACAAATATGAACGCAACATAACGCAATAACTCAAACCAGCCAAAAAAAAAGTGCAAGCGATTTCAAAGACTATGCAAGAAAACTAGAAAAACAAACCAAGATAAAACAATCGCAGGAATAAAACTTTCTAGACCAACAATGAAAAAAGCAGCACTGAACAGTAGATCGCCCACTATTGGTTCCAATTCAGTCAAATTTAAAGTGACAAACAAAACTTTTAAACCATTTTCATGGCAATGTTAATTATGGTGCTGCACCAAATTTAATATATCCTACAAAAACTCATCAACACATAGTCATACTACATACTGGCTCTCTGAACAAGAACGAACAAATTGTCTGATTTGATTCCTTTTTTTGTCATCAAAAGTATTCCTAAAACGTATTTCTGTATAGAGAAGTGTTACTATTTAAGTTCTGACTATTCATATGTACTTCTGATAGTCTCTGAAAATCCAATCTTACAGCAAAGTTGTCCGGAGTAAATAAATTTAATGGCACTACTTTACAGATAAACTGAATGAATTAGTTTCAACCGAAGAAAACGTATTGACCCTTAAACAACTTGAGAATGAACTTATACGTTTTACACGAAATATTCAAACTGCAGCTTGGAAACACACACCCATTTCAACATTTCCCCAGAACATAAAATGTTATTCAAATGATATTAAAATCTGGATAAGCAAAAGACGCAAACTTTGAGGGCGATCTCAACATACTAGGTCTTCGGTGGATAAACTAATACTAATCAATACACGGGAAAGCTGCCAGAAAAAATTAAGGCATTTAAAAACGAAGCATTTAATAGCTTCTTGATTGGACTAACCCCTGACAAAATCATCATCCAGTAAGTCATAGTGTTTCAATCGAGACCAAGGATAATAAATGGGCAAAGATAAACATAGAGAAAGTAAACTTGATTGCTAAACATCTATATACAAGAAATATTTACTCAAAATAAAGGGAACAGCGAAATGACTCTCAATACAGATTGATTAGAAAGAGGAATAACTATAACTCACGTCAGTTCTAAGGAAGTGGAGAGTCAAACACAAAAATTAACTTTGAAATAATCGCCAGGTCTTGATCTAATAACAACATGAATTTTACGGGAATTATCTAACTCTGTGTTTAAAATTGAAATATGTACCGATATATTGGAAAATATCAGAGGTAATTATAATACTTAAACGTAGAAAATCACCCAACAACGTATCGTCGTACAGGCCAATATCTTTGCTTCCCATTCTATCAAAACTTTTGAAAAAATTACGAGTATTTCAAAAGTGGTTGCAACGTATTATCGACAATAAATACATAATTCCAACACATCAGTTATGATTTCGAAGAAGACACTCTACGATTGACCAACTTCAGAGAATTGCACATACAACTGAGTCTGTCATGTAAGCAAAATAAGTATG